GTTGGGAGCCTGGGGGACTGGGAGGATGGTGGTACCCTCTCCAATGTTAGGGACGGTAGGAGCCGGGAAGGATTTAGGGGGAAAGGTTTAAGATGTCTACTGGAAGGGGCAGCTAGGTGGCGCAGTGGATAGACAGCTCCGGCCTTGGAGTCAGGAGGACCTGAGTTCAAATTCAGTCTCAGACCAGACACCTGACACTTACTAGCTGTGTGACCCTGGGCAAGTCACTTAACCCCGATTGCCTCACTGAAAGGACAAAAAAAAAAAAAGATGTCTACCAGACATCCAGTTTGAGATGTCTGCAGGGCAGTTGGAGAGGTGAGATTGCAGGTCAGCAGAGAGATGACAACTGGACAGGTAGATTTGAGAATCAGCCTGGAGATGGTAACTGAAGGAGGGAGTTTTGTTGGGCAGCTAATTACTTTGATAAGGACGAGGAGCCTGCTGTAGTGGAGGAGGAGGCCCGGACTGGGGGGGAGAAAGTGGCCCTGAATTCTTATTCTAATTTGTCAGCAAAGTGAATACAGTGCCAGGAAATCAGAAAGACCCAAGTTCAAATCTGAGCTCAGACACTTACTAGCTGTGTGACCCTAGGCAAGTCACTTAACCCTGGTCTGCCTCAGTTTCCTTATCTGTAAAATGAGCTGGGGAAGGAAATGGCAAACCTCTCCAGTATCTTTGCCAAGAAAACCCCAAATGGGGTCACGAAGAGTCAGACACGACTGAAATGACTGAATAACATTCTTTGACCTTGGGCAAGTCTCTGGCCTTCTCTGTCTTATCTGTCCCCTTATCTGCAGAGGAAAGGTGATGGAGAGGGCCTTCCTTTTAAGCTCTAGCTTGGAGTAGGTGACCTCTAAGATCTCCTCCAACTCTAAGGCAAGCCTATAACTGGATAATTCTGAACACTTTCAAATCAATCCAACATTAAGGATTTATTAAGTACGTACTGTGTGCCACGTATGGTGTTGGTCACTGATATGTAAAGGCAAAAATGAGACAGTCCTTGAAGTTCTTTGGCTCTCTGGTAGAAAGAGGGATAGCATTTGTCATCAGAAGAGCCCTGGGTTCGAGTTCTGACTGATATGCACTGTGTGACATTGGGTAATTCAGTTACCCTCTCTGATCCTCAGTGTCCTCATCTCTAAAATGAGGCGAACAATACACCCTCATTATCTTCCCCAAGGGGCTGTGCAGAAACTCGGATGAGATGTTAGTTTTTGGATTTTTGGTTGTTTTTTTTTTTTTTTTGGCTAGGCAATGGGGTTAAGCGACTTGCCCAGGGTCACACAGCTAGTAAGTGTCAGGTGTCTGGTCTGAGACCGAATTTGAACTCAGGTCTTCCTGACTCCCAGATAAGATGTTTGGTAGGGTCTTTGTAAACCTCAAAGTTCTAGAGATATGTGGGCTTCTATCTTTATTTGTCCTCTGATTGCCTTGGGCCCTGGAAGGGGGAGAAGATGACTGGAAAAGCTGAGATGAGATTGGAATCTCAGGAGATTTCTCTTCTCTCACTTTGTCATTCTCTTCTCTCCTACAGCCAGCCCTCCTCTAGGCACTGCTTTGGGGGGAGCCAGAATCTAAACCCCGCATTTACTGGGCCTCAGGTAGGAAGGTGAAGAAGCAGCGAGGTGTCTCAGTGGGTAGAGCTACTGTGCATGGAGTCAGAAAGATCCGAGTTCAAATCCAGCCTCAGACACTTCCTAGCTGTGTGACCCTGGGGAAATCACTAAAACACTGTCTTCCTCACTTTCCCCAACTGTAAAATAGAAACGATAAATAGTACCTACCTCCCAGGGTTGTGGAGAAAATCAAATGAGATGATATTTGTAAAGCACTGAGCACAGTCAAGTGCTCATGGTAGGTGCTTAAGAAACGCTTGTTCCCAGAGTATAACAGGAGTTATTAACTTAATGCATTCTGTTTTGCCTTATTGTCAATGTGTTTGTGTGTTAGCTTTTCATTTGTTTGTAGAAAATAAATACCTGTCCCATATCTGAAAAAAGAAAACAGAAATGCTTGCTCCTCTCCTTTGATGCTTAAGAAAAACCAGGCAAGCCATGGTCCTAGTGGCCAAAGAAGGTGGTACTAGGAAGAATCCAGGGTTCAGCTGGCTGGAACTGCCGTAGTTTGTGCAGATCAGGCTTAGGGGCCTTAGGTGTCATCTAATCCTACCCCTTCATTTTACAGATGAAAAGGTGGAGGCCCAGAGACCTGCCAGGCATCTCCCAGTGGTGGCTGAGCAGGACTAGATGAAATTAAGGGGGTCAGCAAAGCAGGGTCATCATGCCTTCAAACAGGCTAGCACCAAAAAAGGCTCTTAAGAAGCCAGTTCTAGCCTAGGCCTCAGTTCAGTTCATTTTGATTCAATTCACTTCAATCTGACAATCATTTATGAAGTATCTACTGTGTCCAAGGCCTGAGTGGCAGTACTCTGCCCTTTGGATAAAGAGCTGTCCTTACTCAGAGTTGGCAAGACCTGCGCTCAAGTCCCTCCTCCAAGAACAGACTTGGTCTGTGACCCTGGGGGAGTTGTGGGGGGAGTTGCCTAACCTCTTAGAGAGCCAGCAACCCTATAACATGTAAGTTGTCAAACAGATGCCTATCTGTATCAGTAGAGGGAGTTTCCTGGCTAGGAGTTCTTGTGCCAGTGAAAACAGAGGCCTAGTTAAAAAAAAGTGTTCAAGGTATTGTACTGTGGTTAAGGAATATCCTGCTGGAGAGACACAACCTGAACGTGAGTAAGTGCTAGGTAATGTGAGAAGCGGAAAAGGACTAACCAGGGAACGGGGTCAGGGAAGACTTCATGGAGGAGGTGGCACCTAAGCTGAGCCCTGAAGGAAGATAGGGATTCTGAGTGGGCTGATGTGAGCTCAGAGCTCCCCAGGCAGCCCTGCCTTTGTGGTGGCCATTCCACGTCTTAAAGTCAAGTCAAGAAGCATTTATGGCTGTCCATTTGTGTCTGATTCTTCGTGACGCCATTTGGGGTTTTCTTGGCAAAGATACTGGAGTGGTTTGCCCTTTCCTTCTCCAGCTTATTTTACAGATGAGGGAGCTGAGTTGATAGAGGGAAAGTGACTTGCCCAGGGTCATACAGTGAGGAAGCATCTGAAGCTGGATTTGAACTCAGATCTTCCCCACTCCAGGCCCAGCACTCTGTCCTCTGCAACATCTAGCTATAAATCTCATCTCGCTAACATGAAGGAGAGCAAGGGAGTGACTAGAGGAGATCCCATCGAGACAAAGGCGTGAAGCTCCCGGGGGAGCCTTCCCTGGCGTCCCCGCTCCCCTGCGTTCGTGTCCCTGAGAAAGACTTACACGCAGCCTGTGTTGAGGTGTCAAGCACAGGAAACTGAAGGCCGGGGCCAGTGATTCGTCTTGTGTTCTAGGCTCAGAGGTTCTTGATGCCGCGTTCTGAGTCTTGCCTCGTTCTCTCAGATGAGCCTATGCTTCTGGACATTGGTTGATAAGCTGGAGAGGGTCCAGGGGAGGACAGTCAGAATGGTGAAAGGGTCTTGGGTTCATGAACAAATGAATGAGAAAGTCATTTTTTTTTTGTTTTTGGTTTTTTTTTTTTTGGTAAGGCAGTTGGGGTTAAGTGACTTGCCCAAGGTCACACAGCTAGTACGTGTCAAGTGTTTGGTCTGAGGCCGGATTTGAGCTCGGGTCCTCCTGACTTCAGGGCTGGTGCTCTGTTCGCTGCGCCACCTAACTGCCCCCGAAAAAGTCATTTATTAAGGGATCACTATGTGCTAAACTCTGGCTGTACAAAATTTAAAACAGTCCTTGCCTTCAAGGGGCTGTGTTCTAGCAGGAGGCAACAACCCAAACGGGGAGTGATGGCTTGGGACTGGTGTTTTCTTTTGGAAAGTTACAAGGATGCCTCGTGCATCCCTGGGGGAGTAGCGGACTCACCCAAGCCCGTGGATGATCATTCATAGTGGGCAGGGTGATGGTGGGCAGGCGAGGAGGGCATGGATGCCAAGAAGGCGGGAGAAGCTTAGCTTGGAGCCCCCCACTATGGGGCAGCTAGGTGGTGCGTTGGATAGAGCACCTGGCCTCGAGTTAGAAGACCTGAGTTCAAATCTGGCCTCAGGGCCTATGCTCTAAGATCAGGCTCCTCTGCTTGGCTGCAGAGGGCAGGACGAGCAAAGTGGGTGGTGGATGCAGAGGGGCAGAGGGGGGCTCTCGGTTAAATGCAACCTTCCCAGCCATTAGAGCCACCCAGCAGTGTGGGGTGCCGGGGTGGGGAGAGTCCTTCCCCAAAGAGCAGCAGGAATGACTCAGAGGGGATTCATGGGCTCCTGGGCTTGGCCTGGAGGACCCCTTCCAGGTCTGAGATTCTGGGAGACAGTGACCTGAAGCAGACAGAAGGTCAAGGCTGGTGCCTTAGTAGAAGCCAGGAAAAGTAGGAGCTTACATTTATGTAGAGCTTTAAGGTTCGTAGGGCAGCTAGGTGGCGCCACAGTGCACAGAGCGCTGGGCTTGGAATCAGGGAGACTCATATGAGTTCAAATGCGGCCTCAGAAGATCCTGGGCAGGTCACTTAACGCTGGTCTGCTCAGTTTCCTCATCTGTCAAATGAGCTGGAGAAGGAAATGTCGAACCACTCTGACATCTTTGCCAAGAAAATGCCAAATGGAGTCACAAAGAGTTGGACATGACTGAAAAATGACTGAGTTTAACTGACTTAAGGTTTATAAAGTGCTTTCCAAGTATTATTTTATTTGATCCCTGTAGCAACCTCGGGAGGCAGGTGTGATTATTATCCCCATTTTACAGATACGGGAAACTGAGAATGATAGAGATTAAGTGCCTTGTCCAGGGTCACACAGCTTGTTAGCATCTGAGGATTGGAACTCAGGGCTTCCTGACTTTAGGCTCAGCACTCTTACTCACTGGTGTGGAGGCAGCCCCAGGAGGGGGAGAGAGGGAAGCAGAGAAATCTAGTTCTGGGGAGACTCAGCCAGCTGTGACCATTCCTGTTCCTCTGTCCTCAGATCTAACAGCAGCAAAGGGAAAGTGGAGACCCCAAAGACACCCACCAGCCCCTCTTCTCCTACATTTTCTCCATCCGTCTGTTTCTTGGCCCCCTGCTACCTCACAGGAGACTCAGTCCGGGACAAGTGCGTTGAGATGCTGTCCGCAGCCCTGAAGATGGATGGTGAGGAAGTCTGGGGTGGGCCATCATGGGAAAAGGGGACCAGCCTTGTCCTGCTTGGCAGATTTAGCGTCTATGTCAAGAGAAACTTCCTGACAAAGCTATGCAAATGTAAATTGGGCTGTCTTGAAAAGTAGTGAGTTCCCCATCACTGAAGGTCTTCAAGAGAAGGCTCAGTGACTGCTTGTCAGGCATGTGTCTGTCTAAATGTGACATCTGGAGGTCCCTTCAGACTTTGGGATTCTGTAGGATTCTTTGAAGATTGAGACTGGAAAAAGAGAAAAGGAGTCAGCATTTCCCTGGGACCTAGGAAGAAAATTCCCCTATGTTTGTTCTTGTCTCTTGTGCAAGCAGTTGGGGAGGACACAGGCAGGAGCAGTAGTAGGAACGTTTGTGTTTGTCTTAATTACTGCCCCTTCTCCCCACACACCAGCTCCCCAGTTTGTAATTGGCTTCTTTGCCAAGACAGAATAAAACATGGATTTTTGCATCTTTTCTTAGGTGATTACAAAGAATATGGAGTCAACTGCGATAAGATGGCATCAGAAATCGAAGATCATATCCTTTGGTGGGCTGTGCTGGGGGTTTGTCCAACATGACCCAGTATTCCCGGGAAAGACCTTAGCTGCTGACCTGCTCTGAGCGGCTGAGGAATGAGCAGAGCAGTGCCAAGGCAAACAAGCTGAAGTCACACCAGTTGTAGGGTGGTCTGGCCTTCATCTTTATGGGGGCTGCGGAGGAGATGGGGCCCAGGAGAGGAGCATTGTGGTGATGGTGGCCCAGGGATGGTGCAACCATTTCACTGCATGGACCAGGAAAGGACTGTGAGGCATTCGCTCTGGCGAAGAACTGTGCCTCCCTCCTCCCCCTCACCATAGGATCTAGCTAGGTGGTACAATGGGTGGAGTGCTGGGCCTGGATTCAATCTGACCTAGTATAACCCTGGGCAAGTCACTGTAACCTCTCTCTACCTCAGTTTCCTCATCTGTAAAATGAGGCTCATAACAGCCCCTACCTCCCATGTTTATTATAAGAATCAAATGAGATAATAATTGTAAAGCACTTAGCACCGTGCCTGGCACATAGTAATTGCTATGTAAGCTGCTGTACATTAACTGTCATTATCATCAATCATCATCATTATGATAAATCTGGGGCTGGAAGGGTCCTCAGAGGCCATCTGGTCCAAACCCCTCATTTTACAGATGAGGAAACTGAGGCCCCTGGAGGCTGTGACTTGTTCAGCATCACACATGCCAAGGCCATGCTGCCTCCACGGATGGCATCTCCCTGTGACAAAGTGCCGTTGGTCTCATGGGAGTTCCAGTCCTGGGTCTGGGTCACTCAAAGCCAGAGGCATGGCAGGGAGGAAGGGATAGTGACCCCGGTGCCCCCAGTCCACCCATCTCTTCTCATTGCTTCCTTGGGAACAGGGTCCTCTACTCAAATACTTACTTCCCCTCCATAGACTCAAGAAATGATGACATAAGATGTCGAGATGTGCTTGAATGCACCTGGCACCGCTTTCTGCATCTGAGTTATCGGAGAAGGGAAGGATGTTCTGGCCCTCCCCCCCATCCCCCACTCTTGGACTGGTCCTTGTAGCACTCCCCTCCTCCTTCCAGCATGACGAGGATCAGATTCTCCCACTTGTCCCTGTCCCCAATGAAATCGCTTCTGGAAACGGGGCGTGCGAAACGAGGCTGCCGTGTGTGGCACGTGGGAAGGGTCCCCATCTGAGAAGATACCTCCTACCTACCTTTACCTGCTCCATCCTGATGCAACATATGATGAGGCAAAGCACGCAGATTGGGCTCTAATCCCAGCTCTGCCCCTTCTTACCCGTTTGACTGTGGGCAAGTCACCCGCTTTGCAGGGCCCTCATCTTGTCTATAAAATCAGAGGGTTGGACTAGATGATCTTGTGACCTCTGGACCAGTCACTGGCCCTCTCTAGTCTCTCTTGTCAGTTTCCTCATCTGTAAAATGAGGAGTTTGGACCAGATGGCTTCTCAGGTCCCTTTGATTCTGACATCCTCTGTCCTAAGGCCTCTCTCAGTTCTGACATTCTTTGTTCTAAGGGCCCTCCCATCTCTGACATTCTGGGTTCTAAGGGTCCTCCTAGCACTGACATTCTGTGTTCTAAGGACCCTCCCAGCTCTGACATTCTCTGTCCTAAGGGCCCTCCCAGGTCTGACATTCTCTGTTCTAAGGGCCCCCCCAGCTCTGACATCCTGGGTTCTAAGGGCCCTACCAGCTCTGACATTCTCTGTTCTAAGGGCCCTCCCAGCTCTGACATCCTGGGTTCTAAGGGCCCTCCCAGCTCTGACATTCTGTGTACTAAGGGCCCTCTCAGCTCTGACATTTTCTGTTCTAAGGGCCCTCCCAGCTCTGATGTTCTACTTTTTAAGATTCCTCCTAGCTCTGATATTCTCTGTTCTAAAGGCCATCCCAGCTCTGACATTCTGGGTTCTAAGGGCCCTCCCAGCTCTGACATTCTGGGTTCTAAGGGCCCTCCCAGCTCTGACATCCTGTGTTCTAAGGCCCCTCCCAGCTCTGACATTCTGGGTTCTAAGGGCCCTCCTAACTCTGACATTCTGAGTTCTAAGGCCCTCCCAGCTCTGACATTCTATGTTCTAAGGGCCCTCCCATCTCTGACATTCTGTGTTCTAAGGGCCCTCCCATCTCTGACATTCTGTGTTCTAAGGGCCCTCCCAGCTCTGACATTCTGTGTTCTAAGGGTCCTCTCAGCTCTGACATTCTGTGTTCTAAGGACCCTCCCAGCTCTGACATTCTCTGTTCTAAGGGCCCTCCCAGCTCTGACATTCTCTGTTCTAAGGGCCCTCCTAGCTCTGACATCCTGGGTTCTAAGGGCCCTCCCAGCTCTGACATTCTCTGTTCTAGGGCCCTCCTAGCTCTGACATCCTCGGTTCTAAGGGCCCTCCCAGCTCTGACATTCTCTGTTCTAAGGGCCCTCCCAGCTCTGACATCCTGGGTTCTAAGGGCCCTCCTAGCTCTGATGTTCTACTTTTTAAGATTCCTCCTAGCTCTGATATTCTCTGTTCTAAAGGCCATCCCAGCTCTGACATTCTGGGTTCTAAGGGCCCTCCTAGCTCTGACATCCTGTGTCTTAAGGGCCCTCCCAACTCTGACATTCTGGGTTCTAAGGCCCTCCCAGCTCTGACATTCTGGGTTCTAAGGGCCCTCCCAGCTCTGACATTCTGGATTCTAGGGCCCTCCCAGCTCTGACATCCTGTGTTCTAAGGCCCCTCC